TCAGCTAAAGTGCTTTCTTTACATGAAAATTCCTGAGTCTGGGGAGATGGCTCAGTGGAATAAGCGCTTGCCTGGCAAGCCCAGGGACCTGAGTTCAATCCTTAGTTCCTCAAAAAAAAAAAAGGAACTCACATGCTAAGGTTTTTAAAATACACTGTATAGTAAGACTTTTTTTGTCTTGAGACATGAGTTTCATTCTTTTTTTTTGTTTGTTTGTTTTTGGTTTTGGTTTTTTTTGGCAGAACCGGGGATTGAACTCAGATCCTTGAGTTTGCCAGTCAAGCGCTTATCCTACTGAGCCATCTCCCTGGACCCATGAGTTTCATTCTTGATACCAAAGAAAACAACAACTAGAAAACCCAACCAAACAATAAAACTGTTCTCAAGGCCAGCCAAATAGCTCAGTGGATTAAAGTGCCTACAAGCAGGTGCATGGGCCAGGGGTTCGATCCCCGAGCCTGCCTTGCCAGCCCTGCCCCTGGGCCACTGAGACTGCGATGGAGACTGGGCGTGGTGGTGCGCGCCTGGTATCCCAGCTCTTGGGAAGCTGTAAACAGGTGGATCACTACAAGTCCGATCTAGTAGTGAGACCCTGAACACCCTGTAGACCCTTCCCTGAAATACAAAAAAAAGAAGAAAAAAATCTATTCTCTTGCAGTTTTGGAGGCTAGGAATCTGAAACAGGTGTTAGGACCCTGCAACTTCAGAGGCTGTAGGTAGACTCATTTGCATCTTTAGCTGCTGGGCAGCCGGAGTTCCTTAGCTTGCAGTTGTGTCACTCTGTGTCTGTCTGTCTGTCTTTCTTTTTCTTTGCAGAACCTGGGATTGAACTTAGGCCCTTGCACTTGCCAGGCAAGCGCTTATTCAACTGAGCCGTCTCCCCGGCCCCACTCTGTGTGTCTTTCATCATAAGACACAAGTCATATTGGATTAGCAGCCACTAATCAACTATGGTCTCATGTTAACTTGATTACATTTCAAGGCGCTGAATCCAAATAAGGTCACATTCATGTTTGCAAGGGTTAGCAGTGTCTTTTTTGGGGGAGACACAGCTCAACCCATAATACTTTTCTAAGGTAATGCATCAAATGAGTGGGAGAGGGGCCGGGGAGATGGCTCAGTAGAATAAGCGCTTGACCGGCAAACGCAAGGATCTGAGTTCAATCCCCGGTTCCGCCAAAAAAAAAAAGAAAAAATGAGTGGGAGAAGGGCTGGCCAGATAGCTCAGCAGCTTAATATGCCTGCTTAGGCAGAGCACAGTGGCCAGGGTTTGATCCCCGCTGTGCTGTGCTGGCCCCACCCCATCATGTGCTGAGATGGTAAATGAGCCGGCATGGTGGCACACGCCTGTAATCCCAGCGCTTGGGAGGCTGAAAACAGGAGAATCACTGCGAGTCTAATCTGTGTAGTGAGACCCTGTAGACCCTGCAGACTGTGTAGACCCTGCAGACCGTGTAGATCCTGCAGACCCTGCAGATCCTCTAGACCCTGTAGACCCTGCAGACCCTGCAGACCCTGAATTAAGTACATTTAAGAAAATAAAACAAGTGGGAGAGTCTGGTCCATAGCTTGAACCATTCACATTCTAGAATCTGGGTTCTCTTACGATATGTTGATAAATCACCCCAGTACTCAGAAAGGAACCTGACTGAGCAGCCTCCGCATCCACTGGCCTTCCCTCTAGGAGGTTCTGATGTCCCTGATTGGCCCTCTGACCGGTCTCCAGGTCTCCAGGTGTTTGTCCGTCCCTGTCCAGATGTTCCCCCACCTTGTTTTCGTGTTTTTGCATCTACTTTTTCTTCTCCCAGGATTCTCCTCTCAGGACCCTCATGTCACACTATGCGGAGGCCATGGGGCTCTCTGGACACAAGCTCTCCTTCTTCTTTGATGGGACGAAGCTTTCAGGCAAGGAGTTACCCGCGGATCTGGGCATGGAATCTGGGGACCTCATTGAGGTCTGGGCCTGAGACCCCACTCCCTGTTTGGAAGCCCAACCGAGACTTAGAACCCCTCCATTTTGGCCCCGTAAAGACTAGCAGAAGGTGGTGCTGGGGATACATTTCAACAGCGCAGCGCCTGCCTGGCAGCGTAAGGTCCTGAGTTCGATTCATGGTACAAAAAATAAAATAAAAAGCAAACACACAAAGACTAATAGAGGGTGAGGTAGGATTTATTTTTAAGTAGAATCAAAAGTGCAGGGTGACCTTGGGCCTCATTCCTGTTCACCCGGCCTCAAGCCATGAACCAGTAGGGTGGTTGCATGGTGGTTGTCGCTGCCCTGCCTGGCCTGTGGTACCATGCATGTCCTGCTGACTTTGCAGCCCACCTGCGCCCTGAGCTTCCGTCACTGCCCTTTGCTTCACTGAAATGACTGTTCTAGGAACCTTTGCTCATATTTAAAGAGTTGGAATAAACGAGGGCTGGATACAGCTTCCAGTTCTGGGAGGTACTGCACACTGAGCGCCGGCAGTGGCCTTATTCTCACCTGGCTGGGTTTGCGGGACGCACTGTGGCGGCAGGTGCTGTAGCGTGCAGGAGGGTACGGCAGCACGTGTGCGTAAGCGCAGTAGGCGGGATGTACTCTGGAAGGGTAGTGGAGCCTCCGTCCTGAGCCCCTCGCGCCAGGACCCTGAGAGCTGTTGCCCTTCCTGGCGCACGTATTCAAGCTGCCTCGTGTCGAGTCTTGGGCAGGTAGTCCCATGCAAAAATTAATTCTCTGGTTTTGACCTTTTCCTCCCCTTACAGCATCCTCTCCCATTGGCGTCCTGTCTTATATATTTATACACATTTGAATATGAATGTCTTTAAGAGGTAGTGTGTTTTATGGGTGAATGGTGTTGTGCAATAGATCTAATTCTGTTTTCGCCCACCCACCATGTGTGGAGCTCCCGCCCTGCTGCTTGTTGTGGGCCTGTCGTTACCCAGAGCTGCTCTGTGGCACTCATGGGCATCAGCTGCATTTCACTCACCGATGCCTTACGTGGTCACAGCTGTGCGCCTCCGACACCTTGGCATGGATACAAGGCCCCGACGAGCACCCTTTCTGGGGCCCTTCTGTGCTGTGTGAGCAGTGTTTGGCCTGCATACCCAGGGAAGGTGTGGCTCACACAGGCCAATTTCTGCAGCTTCCCAGATTTTCCTCAGAATGAGGACTGACCCACTTGAAGTTTTCTTTTCTCCTCATTCTTAGCAGCACTTAATATTTCTCAGCTATCTGATTTTGGCTAATCTGATGGGTATAAAGTGACACTGTGAGCTGGGCGTGGTGGCGCAGGCCTGTGATGCCAGCACTTGGGAGGCTGAGGCAGGAGGATTGTTTCAAGTTCGAGACCAGCCTGGGCCACACAGTGAGTTCAAGGCCAGCCTGAACTGCATAGCTAGGCCCTGTCTCAGAAAGCGCAAAAAGAAGAAAAAAGAAAGAAGTGACAGTGTTTTAGTGTGCATTCACTTGGTCACCATTCATTCAGGTGTACTTTTTAAGTAGCTGGGCATGGCGGAGCACCGCTGCAGTCCCAGCACTGTGGAGACTGAGGCAAGATCACACATTCCTATGGTTATCCAGACTCTAGCTCAGTATAAAGAATAAGAAAGGGCTGAGGGTGTACCTCAATGCCAAGGCCCTCAGTTCAATTCCCAGTGCTACCAAAGCAAACAAGAATTTTTAAAATATATCCTGTCTGCCTTTCTGATTTCTCTTTCTGTGACACACTGATTTTCTCACGGAGCTTCCTTTCGGTGTGCTTGTTCATTCTGAGGAGTTGCTCGTATACTGGGGCCTGCACAAGACTCCTAGAACGGCACTTTGTGTGTGTGGGAGTGTCTTTCACTGAACAGTTTTGATTTTAATGTAAACAAATTAAGCATTTTGTTATAGAGTTTGTGCTTTTACTGTCTTATTTAAAACTAAAGAGCTCAGTGATTTCCCTCCTGTTCAGCCACGACATAAGGCTGCAGTCTGTCGGGACCCCTCGGTGTGGAGGGGCGGCAGCTGCCCCGCGTGCGAAGCTCTTGGCTTTCACCGGTCAGGACCTGGCTGCCCTGGCTGCCAGATACCAACCGTCACTTCTATGTGATTTAAAATGTACCTTTGTATGTGAGGCAGTTTGTTTGAACTAACAAGCCAGTTTTTTTGTTTTTTTTTTTTAACAAGTCAGTTTTATCTACTAAAAATGCCATTAATCATCTACCAGTAGTGGTATAATTTTAGCAAAAGTATGTCAACCTCATAAAAACATTTTATTGGAATGTGACATTCCTTTGAATTTTATTTTTATATTTTTTATTTTGAATTTTATAACATTTAAATAGTTCATGATATGTCATAGCTGTTCATGTTTTCAGATCTTTTATGCCCACTAAAATGTTTGTATATAATAATATTATATATTGAATTTCAGCAGAATAAATGGCAATACATACAACCTTTGCATACTTGAGAATTTCTGTCTGTGTGGCATAACATTTATTAAAATACTGTGACAAAGACCTTTAGTCATCTCCCCATATCTGATTTTGCTCCTTCTCGGGTACTGGGCTCAAGGCTTAGAGCACAGCAGAGACGCTGGTATAAGTACAGTGTGGTTGGCCTCCGTCGATGCAGTTGTACCCGTAGGTTCAGCCAGTCATGGTTGAAACTGTTGGGGAGAGAAATGTGTGTCTGTACTGAACGTGGACAGGCCTTTTTGCCTGTTGCTATTCCCTGACAATACAGTGTGGCTATTGACGTAGCACCTACGCGGTAGAAATATCAAATGGAGTCTAACCAGAGGTGAGCAGGTGCCAGTTCTGGCTCGTGGTGGTAGAGGGGTGCTACTTGTAGGACGGCTCTGCTGCCTGTGTGCCCTCTCCTCCCTTGCCTTCTGCCTGCTGACTCATGTGGAACAGCCGTCCTCACGCTGGGGACCTCCAGAACTGGGACTTCATGGGGGGACAGTGAGAGGAGCCTGACTGCCTCCCTGTAGTACCTTCCTGGGCTCACACCATTGGCCTCTGGACTTTTTGTGAATGAGGAACTTTGTCTTGCTTAAATAACTTACTGTAGGATTTTTGCCTCCTAAAACCAAGGGGCTGGGGAGATAGTTCAGTAGAATAAGTGTCTACCTGGCAAGCGCAGGGTCCTGAGTTCAATCCCTGGTACCGCAAAAAAAAGAAAACAGTTTTAACTCCAAAATGTGGAAATAACCATTTGTAGTGGTACACACCTATACCCCCAGCACTCGGTACTAGTGAGAGTTTTCCTTAGATTTTTATGTCCAAGAATACAATCAGTCATTAGTAGAATGTGCATCTTCCAGGCTTCTTGGTCTCCTTTTCCCTCTCTATTTTACAGTACTGGAGATTCAACCCAGGGACTTCACACTGAGCTATACCCCAGCTCTTTATTTTATTTTGGCGGAACTGGGGATTGAACTTAAACCCTTGCACTTACCAGGCAAGTGCTTATTCTACTGAGCTATCTCGCCAGCCCCTAACCCCCCAGCTCTTCAAAAAAGCTTTTTTTCCCTCTAACTTTATTATTTATTTCTTGAACAAAAATCCAGCGATGGCAAGTGCCACCAAGCAATTCCAGTGTGTGGGTGTCTCAAGGACCTAGTGTTGTAGGCAGCTAAATTAGATAAAAATATTATAGGCAGTCAGATAGGGCCAGGCCCTCCTCAAGAAGTCAAGATGGAAAACAAGGTGACTTTACAACTTGAAAGAGAAACACTTCTGTATGGGCCATACTGTGAGACAAAAGAGAAAACACAGCTACATACTTCCCTAGGGATGGGCATCAGGGATTGATATTCTATTTATTTATTTTTTTGGCAGAACTCAGGCACTTGCACTTGCCAGGCAAGCACTTACTCTGCTGAACCGTCTCCCCCGCCCAGGGACTGATATTCTACATAGGTATCAATCACCTTAAAACAGCCCAAATGAGTCACTAGCCCAACCCACAACAGAAAGAGACCCTGTCCCCATTCAGGTCCGTTTGCCATGTGACTCGCTTCCCCATTCGGTCTTGGACTTAATCAAGTTCACCTGAGCCATGGTGCTTGTAATCTCATTGGTTGGCCAAAGTTTTGTCCCACCTCATGCCCACCTAAGCGAGTTCCCATGTCTTCTCTACCACCTTAGACCCCCCTTACCACATGGTTTTCCTCTATAAAAGTCCCTAGAAGAGACAGCTTCCCAGGGACAACCCACTGGATCCCCTCTCCTGTCCCTCTCAGACAGGCACTTTCTTTCCCTCAATAAATATATTCTTATAACCTGTTTGTTCCTAAAATTCATTCTTTGGTTTTAGAGAACACGAACTCGTCCCAGGTATCTTTTCAGGTTGGGAGATGAGTGTTTCTCCCCGTGTCATTTGGAGGTTTCCCTGTATCATTAGTAGCAGGAGGATTTGAGAACTTGACTTTTAAGTATGGCAGGGCAATAAATATACGGGTCCCCTTTATTTGAAGTTTCACATAACCTGTGGTCAGCCAAAGCCAGATATGGAACAGTTCAGTCAAAATCTGTTCGTTTTTTAAATCTTTTTAAAAATTATTATTTATTTATTTATTTATTTGGTACAGGGTCTTGCTAGATAGCTTGGACTTGGGGTGATCCTCATGTCTCAGCCTCCCCAGTGCTGGGATTATAGGTGTGCACCACCATGCCTAGTTTTGGTGGCCAGCACAGTTTGTGCTATCGGGGATGGAACCTTGGTCCTTGCACTTGCCAGGCAGGCAAGCACTCCGACCTCTGAGCTATCTCCCCAGCCCTTTCTTTTGTTTTTGAGACATAGTCTCCTGCTGCAGTTTCGGCTGGCCTTGATCTCACTGTGTATCCTAAGATGGCCTCTCGTACAGTGACCCCCGCCTCAGCCTCCCAAGTGCACTACCACACCTGGCCACCCCCAGGGTTTTGATTTGTTTTTGAGACAGTCTTGCTAAATCACTTTAAGTTGCTCCAGGTGTTTGAACTTTCAGGCCTCCTGCCTCAGTCTCCATAGTACTGGGATTACAGGTGTGTGCCACCACTCCCACCCAGTCTGTTTTGGTTTTTTTTCAGACAGGGTCTTGCATATAATTGAGTCTGGCCTTGAACTCATTATGTAGCCCAAGCCAGCCTCAAGCTTGAGACATTCTTTCTGCCTCAGCCTCTGGAGTGCTGAGATTACAGGTTACCACACTTAGTGTTCAGTGTGGTTGAAGTTGTATTTTTCCATAATTACCAATGATAGGTACTTGTTGATTATCTATATATCTTTTTTTTTTTTTTTTTTTTTGAGACAGGGTCTCACTATGCAGCTTGGACTGACCTTGTGTTCGCTTTTTGTAGCCCCCAGGCTGGTCTCAAATTCACAGAGATCCTCCTGGCTGAACCTCGCAAGTGCTGGGATTACAGGCTTGCGCCACCATGCTGGGGATCAAACTTGGGTCCTTTTGCTTGCCAGTTAGGTGTTTATGACCCTGAGCTATCTCTCTGGCCCATATATATTTTCTTTTGGGAAATGTCTATTCACATCTTTTGCCCATTTAAAAAATTATTAGGGGGTTTGAGTTTGAAGAGCTTATTCAGATATGTCTGAATACAAGGCCTTTGACAGATACATGCTTAGCTGATTTTTTCACTCCACAGGGGCAGCGTTGCAGGCATCTGCCTCCTCCCGATAAGCTCCCTGGAGGAAGGGACTTTTGTCCAACCTCTAGGAGATGTCAGGCACACGTTGCTGCCCAGTAACATTTTTTGTTGGGGATTAAGTGACTACAGTCTGATAACTCAGTGGGTCTAAGCATCTGCCTGGCAAGTGCAAGGACCGGAGTTCGATCCCTAGTACCGCATGCTGTGCTGGCCCCAAAACCTGGTGGAATCCCAGCGCTGGGGAGGCTGAGATAGGAGAGTCACTACGAGTCTCACTACGCGTCTGAGCTGAATAGTGAGACCCTGTACCAAATAAATACATTTTAAAATAAATATATTGGGCTGGTGAGATGGCTCAGTGGTCTAAAGCACCTACTTAGAACAAGCTTAGCAAAGCACAGGGACCGCGGTTCAATCCCCAGCACCACATGCCAGCCAGCCCCGCTCCCTTCCCTGGTGGGCTGAGCTGGCCACTCACACACACACACACACACACACACACACACACACACAAATAAAGAAAATGTTTTTAAAAAATATATTAAAGTTCCTGTGCATCAGGGGAGACTAGGTTTAAGGTTCCAAAACACGAAGTAGTTCCTAGGGCAGCGCCAAGGAGGGGTATTTGGGGCTCAGATTCTAATAAGGTATCTTGGGGATAAGGTGATTTCCTGAGACTTCAGGGTTCCTTTTGCAATGTGGTCAGAAGAGAGTTTTTGTGAAGCTGCGTTTGCACAGAATGGTGACAGTTTTACTTAGAGTGTGTGCTTATTCGGGGTATCTTGGAAATCGCGAGTGTCCCCTGAAGGGCTCCGAGCATCCTTTGGTCAAGGATCTGGTACCTCTGACCCCCTTCCTGCAAGTCTCCTTAGGCTGAGCCCGTCAGCTTCACAAAAGGCCACCAGAGGGCGTAGGGGGTCCGGTCCCGGTAGGAAGTAGGAAAGGCGGGCTGGGACGCATCTTACAGTGGGGGTTTAAGCACCCAAGGCGGACGCTCGGAGCTGGGGCATCTGGGGCCGCGGTTCAGCCTCCGTTCATTCCACCCTTACTCAGCACGCCTGATGCCGCCCGGACGCTGCGAGTGGCGATCTCAAGCGAGAACTGGTCCTAGCATCTCTAGAGACTTGTGTAAGTTCCGAAAACCCACAAGACGCCCGCCAGCTGGCCTTAGGGCGAGAACCGGTAAGCCAAGGCGACTGGGTCACGGCCCAGGAGGGGATGAGCAGCCGGGTTGCAGTGAGGCGCGATCCCAGGCCGGCTGCCCGGTTACCCCAGCGACCGTCGCAGTCACGTGACACTACTCTGGGACGGTCCCGATCACGTGCCCAGGGCTTGCACGCTGCGGCTCTCGCCCCGGGCCGCTGTGTCACATGACTCGCTCTCCGGCAACATGGCTGCCGCAGGGGTGCAGCTCCGGCGCTGAGCGACAAGGGGCGCGCTCCTCCTGCTCGGGGTGAGGGGGCTCGGCGCGGGAGGGGCCCGGCCGCGCCAGCGCCTCGCCGTCATCCGGATCCCACAGTCCCCTGCGCTCGGTGTGTGTGCCGGGGCTGGAGGGACAGCCCGGCCCGACCCCTTTGGAGCCGAGCTCCGCATCAGGAGAAGGTGCTGCCTGACCGTGGGGACACCTCCCTCCCGGGGTCCCGCTAGTCTACCTTCTCCAGCCCCTTTCCTTCGCAGGTCGGACCGGAGCGCGGGCCGGTGCGGCCCCCCGGGACCATGGCCGGGTCCGACACCGCGCCCTTCCTCAGCCAGGCGGATGACCCAGATGATGGGCCGGTGCCAGGTACCCCGGGCTTGCCAGGGTCCTTGGGGAACCCAAAGTCCAGGGAGCCCGAGGTCCCGGACCAGGAGGGGCTGCAGCGCATCACGGGCTTATCCCCGGGCCGCTCGGCTCTCATCGTGGCCGTGCTGTGCTACATCAACCTCTTGAACTACATGGACCGCTTCACCGTGGCCGGTAGGCTCTAGGGAGGGGGCCAAGTCCTGGGGCCGGGTGGCTTCGCGGGCTCACCCCGAGTGTCCCCTTCCAGGCGTGCTTCCAGACATCGAGCACTTTTTCAGCATCGGAGACAGCAGCTCCGGCCTCATCCAGACCGGTGAGTGGCTTCCTGCCTGCTGCTCCGCAGCTCCTACTCTTTCTGCCTAACTGGGACGTTTACAGCTGGGGGACCCGCTGGCCTTGACTTTGTTCTGGGACTGACTAGTTCAGCTAGGACCTTGCATTTAAAGAGGGGAGCAAGGTCGTCGTCCCAGCTCGGGGGAGATGGGAGCCAGGCGGGTTGAGAGCTGGAGGGCAGCCGAAGCTACATAGCGATATCCTGCCTCAAACAGAACAGGGCAAAAACGAAGGGGTCAGCTTAGTAAGTGGAGAAGACAGACCCGGCTTTAAATCTCAGTGCTTCCCCTTACTGCGTGGTGGTAGGCACGGCACTCACCTCCCTCAGCCCCCTTTTCCTTGTCTGTGAGAGGGGCTGGTAGTAACAGACACCTCTGAGGAGAGGGGAAGTCATGCTGTGAAGGGCCCAGGGCCGTGTCTGGCGCACAGTAGGTGCTGGCAGAGAGAATGTCAGGACCCGGGAAAGGTGAGTGTTGCTTGTGCAGAACTTTGTGGCTCTGGAGAGGCAAAAACAGAGCCACAGCCTGCTTTTCCCTCCTTCATTTCTCAAATGTTTCTGAGCACCTGCTGCGTGCCAGGCACTGGAGGGAGTGTTGGTCACGCATTGGGCGAGATGTCATTGTTCATTTTTTTAAAAATGTACTTGGTACAGGATCTCACTACGCAGCTCAGACTCTAGTGATCCTCCTGTCTCAGCCTCCCCTGCGCTGGGATTACAGGCATGCCCCACCACACCCAGACTAGGTTGCTGGCTCAGCATGCCTGGGGTGCTGGGCTGGTGGCATGTGGTGCCAGGGGATTGAACCCCGGTCCCTGCGCTTACCTAAGCAGGCGCTTAGTCTGCTGCGCTATCTCTGTCGGCCCTGTTCATCGTTTTTGGTGTGTATATGTGGTACTGGAGATCCAAATGCAGAGCCATGCCAGGCAAGCATTGTACTTCCATTTGTTTGCTTGTTTGGCTTTGAGGTGGGGATTTACTATGTAGCTCAGGCTGGCCTGGAGCTCACTATGTGGCCCAGGCTGACCTTGAACTCACAACGCTCCTAAGTGCAGATTACTGTCCTGAGTGTGGATTACCTGCGCCACCACACCCACCAATATAATACCTTACTTCCCAACTGCTTCCTTCCTTAAGTCTGAATAAATCTTCCCATTGGCTGAGGAGTAGGTGTTACCATCCCTATTTTAGAAAGAAAGACACTGAGGCTGGGAGAAGAGCTCAGGCTTGCCCAAGGTCACACAGTGTATTAGAGGCAAAACAGGGATTTGAAAACCCGTCTCCCGTGTGCCTTTCTAACTTGAGACTAATGAGGAACTGGTGGTATGAAGTCTGGAGATGAGAACGGGAGCACAGGGCAAGGTTGCAAACCTGTGAGGCGTTCTTGCATTAGCGAAGCCGCAGAACTTTCTAGATGGTTCCATTTATTCCTCTTTTCACTCCACGTGTGTTGATTGAGTACATCTTCTGTGCCTGCTGTGTGTTAAGTGAGCAAATCACAGTCATGACCAGGATAGGCAAGGGCCGTGTGGGAGGGCTGGTTAAACCCTCAGTTCACACGAGGTAACTTGCCGAAGGATAAATTGTGCAAAAGAAAACAGTAAGTGCCACAGACAGGGATGGGCTGTGTGGTGGCCAGGAAAGTCCGGCCTGCGAGGAGATGTTCGAGGTTGCCTGGCTGGGGTGCGGGGATGGCTCCGAGGCCTCGAGGCCTCGAGGAAGGGGAGGATCATCTTACACCGTTGTCCCTGCAGCCTGCACCCCAGCTGGGTGGGAGTGGGGGACTGGGGCTTGGCTGGGCTGACTCTCTGCTTCCCCCCAGTGTTCATCTCCAGTTACATGGTGTTGGCACCTGTGTTTGGCTACCTGGGTGACAGGTACAATCGGAAGTATCTCATGTGCGGGGGCATTGCCTTCTGGTCCCTGGTGACACTGGGGTCATCCTTCATCCCCAGAGAGGTGAGGCCCCGAGCTGGTTCCGCTTCCGGCCGCTCTCCCCCTACTCCCTGGCAATCTTTGCTGCTGCTCCTTGGGGTCCTTTCAGACTGGCTCTGGAGAGCTTCTGCAGTTTCCTTGGTTGGTGCCATTTTATACCCTTTCCTTGCCTGAGGGACTCTGCCTGTCCGCTCCTCTCCCTTTCTCTTCCAGAACTTTCTGCTCACCATCACCCCTCTTCCCCTGACCATTGACCGCTCCATACCTCCATACTCACATGTCTCTTTGATGGGCAAAGCTTCCTCTCCCCTAATCCCCTTCCTGAAAGGCTCCTTGAGCAGCCCAGCAGCAGCGAGGGTGGGGGAGCAGCCAGGGAGCCGCCCGCACCTGCCTGCCACTCCGGCCTCTTCTCTGCCCCCTCTTGAGAGCTTTGAGAGCCACCCGCTGACGCCTGCCCCACCACTCCTGCACACCTCACACCTGCCAAAGTCAATAGCGACCTCCTGGTTGCTCAGGGCCAGCGCTGTTCTTGCTGGGTCTCTCAGGAGCCCTTGGTCATGTCTTCCTTCCTGAAACCCTCTTCTGCTGCCTCTCTGGTTTCCCTCATGCTTCCCTGGCTGTTGCTTCCTTGCTCCTTTGAAATCTCCTCCTCTGCTGTCTGCCCGGCTCTGTCCCCAGGCTCAGGCCCCGTGTGTGCTTCCCTCCGTCACTGTGCCCCGTCCTTAGCCACAGGTGTCTTTGGTAGACAAGTTCTCCTCCCGCCCAGTTCACTGTTCACTGCTGGGGTGTCTCGGGTGGGAGGAACAAGGTAGAAACCAAGATTTATTTCATACCTGCTGGGGACCTTGTCTAGAAGTCCTCACAACAGCTGTGTGAACAAGTTGTTGTTATTCATTCCCCTTTTGCAGATGAGGAAACTGAGGCTCAGAGAGGTTAAGTAACTTTCTCACAGTCACAGCTAGTAAGTGGTGGAGCCAGGATTCCAGCCAGGTCTGTCTCTCATTCTAAACCCAGGTCTCTCCTGCTGTCCCTGCTGCCTCTCTGGCACTGGCCAGAGAGGCTGCCTGGGAGGTTGGCTCCTCCCCAGGTGGGGTGCCACCTCCCCATGTCTCCTTCCCCAGCGTTTCTGGCTGCTCCTCCTGACCCGGGGCCTGGTGGGGGTTGGGGAGGCCAGTTACTCCACCATCGCGCCCACCCTTATTGCCGACCTCTTCGTGGCCGACCAGCGCAGCCGAATGCTCAGCGTGTTCTACTTTGCCATCCCGGTGGGGAGGTCAGTGGCCTGAGGCCTGGCGGTGGGGTTGGAGGCCTGGGGGGGGCTTGATGATTGATATTCTGTGCCCTCTGCCCCCTCCCAGTGGTCTGGGCTACATCGCAGGGTCTAAAGTGAAAGATGCTGCTGGCGACTGGCACTGGGCTCTGAGGGTAAGTCCGACACTGGTGACATTCTCATGACCCCGTTTTTGACCTCTGTTAGCTCTTTTTGGGGATAGCGTGACAGTGCCAGGCCTGCAGGAAGTCATGTTCTAGGCTGAGCTGTCATTGCAGGTGACAGGAGTGCCCCATACACTGTAGCCCCCAGAAGGGACTGTGGTGGCTTCCCCGTGGGGAGACCTGGGGTGATCTTCAGCACAGCTGAGCCCACAGGGTCAGCAGGATTTGATAGCTCTCTTCTCGCTTTCCTTTTCTCTGTGTTGGCTTTGTCTTTCAAGTGTGTGAGCTCCAAATTGCTTATCTTTGACCCAAGTGACTCCAGCACTTGGAAGCCTTGAGCAATAGTCACTCATTCGATGGCACACAGTTAGACCAGTGTGTGGGTCACAGGTCAGCCGTGAAGCCAGTCCTCTGGGCTGGGACAGTCAACAGTCCTCTTGTCAGCCAGGTCTGAGTTGTTGTTTGATCCATGTGGCTTGACAGAAATGGGGAAATGGTTTCCCAAGAGAAGGTCAGGGTTCGGTTGCCAAAGAGGAGGCAAAGCTAGGCTTGCAGAAGTAGTGGCGGCCCCTTCTTCCCAGATGCACAGGCCTGGCTCCCTAGAGCAAGTGCTTTTCGGGGTGTGAGCAGGGCCCCACCCCCACCCCACAGGTTCAGTATGTCCTCGTCTCTGCCTGTCCTGAAGCCAGTGTCTTTCCTAGGTGACCCCAGGCCTGGGAGTGGTGGCTGTCCTGCTGCTGTTTCTGGTTGTACGGGAGCCACCCAGGGGAGCTGTGGAGCGCCACGTGGATTCGCCACCCCTGAGTCCCACCTCGTGGTGGGCAGATCTGAGGGCTCTGGCAAGAAAGTGAGTTGAACCCCTTCCTGCTCCACCCAAGGCCCCTTCCCTCTGGGGAGTTGAATGAGCCCAGCATTTGGCCACTGCTGACCCCTTGTGGTAGCTGTCTGAATACAGGCCCAGATCTGGGGATCAACCTGGGCGACTTCCACACCTGGATTTCTGCAAAATAAGCCAGGAAGGGAAAAGAGAAGTCCCTTCTCCCTCCAGTCCTCCATGGAGACTGCTTGCTTCTCTCCCAACTGCCCACAGTCCTAGTTTCATCCTGTCTTCGCTTGGCTTCACCGCTGTGGCCTTTGTCACGGGCTCGCTGGCTCTCTGGGCTCCTGCCTTCCTGCTGCGCTCTCGAGTGGTCCTGGGGGAGACGCCCCCCTGCCTTCCTGGGGAGTCTTGCTCTTCCTCCGACAGGTACACAGGTGGGGCTGGGCCGGGAGGCCTGAGGTGGCCTGCAGTGGCAGGGTGAGGAGCATTTGATTCAAACCTGGGCTAGGGCAGGTTGGAGCCTGAGCCCACAGGCTACTTCTCTTCCAGAGCCTCCATTTCTAGGTCACACTTGAAGGGATGACAAGGGGAGCAGGGCTTCTGTGTCTGGATAGACTTGGGTGGGAGTGGCTGTTTCCCTGGAGACAGGACCCAGCCCGTCTCCCCCTGCCCCAGTCTCATTTTTGGGCTCATCACCTGCGTGACGGGTGTCCTGGGAGTGGGCCTGGGTGTGGAGATCAGCCGCCGCCTCCGCCGCTCCAACCCCCGCGCCGACCCTCTGGTTTGTGCCGCCGGCCTGCTGGGCTCTGCTCCCTTCCTCTTCCTGGCCCTTGCCTGCGCCCGAGGGAGCATCGTGGCCACCTACGTGAGTAGCCAGCCGGCTCAGGGGGTGTCGTTCTGTGAGGTCCATTGCCAGAGGTTCCAGGTAGCGCGCCACTTTTAAATCATGACTCTGGTCCTTCCCAGCTGTGTGATACTGGGCAAGCAGGGAGCTTCTCTGAGCCCAGATTAGTCATCTAAAAACAGAGCCGAGGGCTGGAGTGATAGCTTAGTAGAATAAGTGCCTGCCTGGCAGGCACAAGATCCTGAGTTCAATCCCTGGTACCGCAAAAAAATACATAAATAAAAATAAAAACAGAACCCATGGGAGTCCCTGTCTTGTAGGGACGTGGAGAGGGTTGCCTGAATTTATGGAGGAACCCATCATATGGTAACTCGTTGGCTCGTTTGCTGTTCCTGGGACAGCTCTGCTTCTCCCCACTCCCTAGATTTTCATTTTTATTGGGGAGACCCTGCTGTCCATGAACTGGGCCATTGTGGCAGACATTCTGCTGGTGAGTAGCAGGCCCAGAGCCTGCCAGGAAGGGGGACTGGGGACAGGAGGCGTGGCTTGTGCACAGTGGCATCTGTTTGCCTTGGCTGCGGTGTCCATGTGGAGGGGCCTGCCACCCTGGGCCCATGGCGAGTCCCTGCTGAGCTCCCCTCCCCTCCCCCAGTATGTCGTCATCCCTACCCGACGCTCCACCGCTGAGGCCTTCCAGATTGTTCTGTCCCACCTGCTGGGAGATGCTGGAAGCCCCTACCTCATCGGCCTGGTGAGCACTGCCCTGCACACAACAGGGGTGCGGGGCCC